GGTTGTACGTAGTTTGAACAATAAAAATTCATCGGGACTTGATGGTGTTTCTAACAGAATGGTAAAACTTCTGCCTGAACTGTATTTGATTAATATCACCCTGTTGTATAATTCCTTGTTTTCTAAAACATATTGGGATAGTAGCTGGAAGAAAGCCATAACATTCTTTTGCAATGTATTTAATGCAAAGTGAAGTTAATGCTAATAAAAAATGTCTAAGGTCGTAGCAACGGTATCCCTTGACCGTTAGATGATAGAGAGTTAAGGAGAAAAACTAAACAAAGAATACCAACACAGAAACGGATCAGCTTTCTAAGCTGAAAACTCATTATGTCAAACAACTATTATTGAGGTGGGTGACATAAGAAGAAGAGAATATACGCGTTTTAGTGATGAATGAGCAGTAACCAGTAATATACGATCGATAACGATAAGACGAATTTGCCATAAAACGAGATTAAGAAAAATGCTTTTAAAAAGTTCGATAATCCTCATCAAGATGGTATGTCTGCTAGATAATTATATTCGTAATAATTAAATACCGACTTGAGACAGTCTATGTCTGGCTGACCCCACCATTGTGGAAATGGGATGCTTTTCACGATCAAGATGTAAATACCTATAGAAGAAATCTGAACACCAATATCCATTGCGATAGAAAATAAAAGTGCATAACGTTCCCACCACCATTTTCTAATAATCGCAGTAAACAAGAAAGCAACAATGAACCATGAGAGATGTCGTCCAACTGGTGGAATGTTAGTTCCTATAGACAATAAAATTGGAATATGTATGTAGCGCAGCCATTTGACGTGTGAATATCTTTTGCTTAAAATCCAAAGTGGAATTGGTAGAATGGCTCCAACAAGAACTATCCAGATCATGTTATATGTTACCGATTTTGATCCAATAAGTCTTGACGAACCTTTAAACAGTAGACCAAATATTTAATTATGGCACACGAATGCTGGCGGGAGCACTGCATATGTGCAGTAAATCGCGCGAGGGATCTTTTTCTCTTATTCAATGCATTATAAAGCGTTAGGAATACTATAATAGATTGCAACGAGTTAGATCTTTTATCTTTATATTTTGTCTATATTAGAGTTGCTCCTAAATGCTAAATCGCATCATGGCAACGCTTTTGAAGAAAATAATTGTTTTCAGAGATAGAGTGTGAGAAACATAAACAAAAAAAGAGCATTGTGGAAATCTTATTGCTCTGTTTCATCATTATAATATAGCCGTCTGAGATCATCACCCTCAAAGTCATGAGCAGGCAGCGCTCTAAGCTGAAAAAGTAGAGAGTAATTTCATGCAATATACGAGTTAAATTTTTATTCGAAAGTTTTAAAAATATCCGAGGGAGCTGTCTATCTCAAGTTCCTCATTCTTTTGATCAGTATGTTTACGATAACATGTGGCTCTTCTATGCTATGGTTTCATGCTGTTCAACCAAACCTGGCTGCAGTAACGGATTTATCACTTTCAATGTGGCTTGTGGCTTTTGAAGTCTAATGGTCAATATCTATTCGGTTTCTAGCAGCCGCTTGATCAACTTGGTATTATTTAAGGAGTTTTACTGATTGCACCGGAGCTGTTCTCGTAGAAAACGTAAGTGCTAATGGAGGTACCTATTTCATGTAATTGGAACAAAACAGTCTAGAGTGAACTTTCCTGCTCCAGTGACTAGCCGACGTATAAAATAGTGTTTTGCTCGGATGTCCGCAACAAATTACATGAATCACTTTTATGCATTCAGCTTGCGGCAAATGCAAATTTTGAACACCATTAGAGCATCAACTGCACTCATGTGCAGCAATGCCACTGCACTACTTTATCTTAGTACAATTTTGGGGACAAACAACGATCTACTAGGCTAAAAGATAGCTAGACTAACCTATCAGTGCTAAGTATATTGTTTGCATATCTATAGTGTTACACGACCAATCGCCGTCAGGATCACACAAATCATGAATAACTGTTAAGAGATGATTGGTAATAAGATATCTTATAATAACAGAGATAATGGTAATTGATAATTGAGTCATGAATAGAGTACGTGGAGAAATTTTCAGAAAATGTGCAAATTTCAAATTAAGAATTAATGATAATGATTTTGTTTGCATTTGATAAGCATAAACCATAAATGTCATGATACCACTTGGGTTAAAACGACCCGCAAATAATGCACCACCTAGTATTCTTGCAATAAAAATGGGCAAAATATCAACAGTTGTTGTTGCCTGAACGATGCCAATGGGTAATAAACATACAAACGTGAATGGAATAGCCACAAATAAATAATACCATGGCATAAACTCCCCAAAATGGCAAACTAGAGCTGAAAGAACAAATGAAATGACGAACAATAATATATACCACCATTCGGATGCCTCCTTGTATTTTGACATCAATGTGCAATGAATGTCATTTTCACGTTTTTGCAGTGAAGTACGGAAATAATGAAGTATTTCTTTGCCATGATATAGTAGTGTGTGAACACCGAGGGAAGCTAATGAGGCAAATATTAAATAGCTTGCGGTAGCTGTTGTAGCATCATATAAAACTGGTGGTAGATTCTTGACATAAGTACTATTGGTAAGATATTGTTGAATGTCAGGAAAAAATAGTTTTCCATCGGCTGTAAAAAAAGCATACCCATTACTCAGGTCTACGTTTGGATATCCCGCAATGGGCAAATTTTTAAAATTCCATAAGTTTGAGTAGTAAATAATTGGTATAAAAAACCAAGTAAAAAATAGAAATCCTACAACGAGATTCATCAGAGCCCAATATGGTACTAGTATCGGTGATCCAATAACTTGTGTAATGCTCTTCCATTCGAATACTAGAGTACCCATACCAAGTCCATAATAAGCAGTCAACTGAGCGATAATAACATTGTCTGGATTGATCATACATATCCAATTGAAAGTAACCAGTAAAGGAAAAATGTAAGCAGGAAACCAATAATATATTATTTGACCACTGGTTGCTAACAGAAAAAATTTCATACGTGATAAATTTAGCCATCGCATACTTGTTGACTGCTCTTTTTCATGTATAGTACGTAATAAAGAAATTACCGGCAAATTTTGTGGCCAAATCATCGACGAAGGCCAGACGAGAAATCGACGTAATACACCTTGAGAAAAGGCATCACTTAAATCCTTAAAAGCATTTTCTAGCTAAATGTTTTCAAATCTATTACTCATATAAAAATTTTCCTGTACGAAATATTAAGAATCTCAGTATTCTTACGATAGTTTTCACGAATGTGTTTGTCTGTCCGCAAATAACTTGAGTCTGCGCTCTAACATACATAGGGATAAGTCTCGGGTCCCGGGCTAAAATGTCCCCATGTGTGTTTTCAAGGGCGCTACTCGCTGGGAAGCAAGGGAAGGGGCAAACAAAGTCAATTTCTATGCTTTTAAAAATTGGAGTAAAACAAAAAAAAAAATATTCTAAACAGTTTTCTTTCTGACGAGAGTAAGCCTAATTTTCAGAGTAAGAAAATCCTGATTCCGGAGTAAATGTTTTCAAACAGCAAGGGGGAGTATGTTTTTCGTTTGTCTGCACCTAACTTTAGCATACTATGGGAAACTCATCGAAGAAAGGTGCAATCAGGCGAAAGGAAACTAGAGATTCTGAATGAAAATTAAGGGAAACCGAGGCAGAGTAGGAGAAATCCATGGGAAACCGCTGTAAGCAGCTAAGAGCTTGATAAAACAAGAATCGGTTCTCAATAATTTAAAAAAAAAGCGCATCTTTTTCTAAAAAGTTTATCAGTCTTCCGAAGTTAAGCCTTGCTATACATATCTCGAAAAGCAAGTAAGAATGCTGAGCCGTGACTCTGAAATCAACGGTGCCGCTTTTTATTGGCAGCCTTATAACTCAAATACTAAACGGTATCTTTTCTAAAACGTAGCTTACCGTAGAGTACAAGTTGTGTACTTCAAACTGCCAAAAAAACTGGAGATAGGTACCTTCAAATTTGTCAACTAGTTAATTTGGGAAGTTGTCAGAATAAACACTAATTCTGTAGCAAAGGGATTCTTTCTTTGGGATAAGATGATAAAATTTGTTCTTTTTACCCATTTCTTGCTTTATGTCTCTCTCTATGGTGCCCTCTCAGTTCGTCCCAAATTAATCTCTCAATTCGTCCCATAAATTTTTTTTCTCAATTCGTCCCAACTAAATTTGTACATATATTTAACTCTCACTTCGTCGATATTTAAAGTATAATTTTCAACATGTAATCAGCTTGTTTTTCAAATCACGGAATAATTAATTTATCATGATGAAAATTAGAAGCACACAGTATCTGGCTATGCCTGGTAGGCTGAAGATACTACAATACAGAGAACGATGCTCAGAACAGTATAATCAGTATAATTTAAAAAAGATGCGCTAAGATTTGAAAAGGATACTCAGTACCCTATATAAATGTTAGGAGATTAAGTGAATCACTATATCATACCAAAATGTTACGTTTCACAAAGACTGAAAAAGGTAATGCAGTACTAAACAATTGTTATCGATATACGAAAAAACGAGAAAATAAAAAAGTAATCAATGGAGATGTCGTGATCGTAATTGTTCAAGTACAATATCATTATGCTCACCGGACTTATCAATAATCAAAAATAAAACAACTCATACATGCGCAAAAGATACTAATAAATTTATTTAATTAGTCTAAATGGTTAATTAGATAAAAATTAGGTTTAGTTTAGATGGAAATTACATAAAAATGGTGGTGATTTTCTACTGGTAGATGAAACATGTAAGGAACTTTATTCTTATATTCTCTAAAATATTGGTTTTTTTCTTACTAGATGGAACGGATCGATTAATGATTTTTGGATCAGAATGGAGTATCTGCTTTTTAGCCTCTTGTTCATTATGACATTCTGATGGTAGGTTTAAAGTTTGTCCATTATTATTTTAACAATGGATACATGATTTCATGTGCGTATTCATTAACCACAAAGAAAAATGCTATTGTTTACAGCAAAATATTGATACATTTAATTGAACTTGGTAAGAAATTCAACGTGATTATGAATCCAGAACTTGCGATTTCGAACAAGAACCATTAGTTCATTTAATGATGTATTTTCAAATATTAAGATCAATGGCTGTTTCTTCCACTATGCACAATCACTATGGAGAAAAATACAAGAGATTGGTATGAGTCGTTATTTTCTTCAAAAGAAAGATAATGATAATATGTCTGATGTTGAACGTAAGCTCACTTTCCTCTTTTTCACAGTCAAGAGCACACGTCTTTTCCTCCTCGTTCTTTTTACTAATATATCTATCTCCTGAGCTATAATTCTTGCGTTCTGTATGATATTATAAACAAAATTAAGGGTCAATCAGTGCAAACAGTAATTCTGGCCGAATACAATTATTATAATAGCCAAAATTCGGCAGCAAAAGACAGTTTATGCAATGGACAAAATCTACAAATGGCATTAGATAAATTCCATCACGACGAAAGAATTAAATCTCAAAACGAAAATTCACTTAAACGGATGGCAACCAACAATGGAGAAAGATTAAGTGAAATTTCAGATACGGACATTACAATGGATGAAGACCTTCGGCAAGAACAAGAAGGATGGCAAACTGCCACCTCTGGCACAAAGAGAAACAGAAATAACAATAATAATGAACGTCAATTTCAACAAGAAAGAACTTTTATAAATGAAAATTATCAGGGCCGTCCGCGACAGCAACGTCAGTCTCAAACACGCCCAGCTTCACAACCTCACCCTCAACAGCAAAACTCTTCCTCTGTCCGTCCTCCACAGCAATTAGAAACGAATGAACTTCGAGTCAATGTCACTAATGCAGCTCTAAATTATGCAAGGGACTATCATTATCC